TAATTTGCAATCACTTCTCCCTTAAGTGAATCTAGAAAAAACTTTCATAACTTTTCACTTCTCAAGTCAAAGCAATTTTTATTCTGGAAATCAAACAATTTTATACACACACACACACACAATGCATATATAATAACACACATCACTACCAGTTTTACTCGTCAGGGAAATCAATACCGGTGAAGACCAAGAAAGAAGACAGTCCATGTAACTAGCCAAATAAGCTTGAGAGAATAGAATTGACAGGTGTATCCAAATGCCCAACTTCACTAAAGCGTCTTAGGGAGCTAAGTCCCTGGTAATGTCCTGTGCCGCTCAATTCCTTCAGGAAAAAGAAAGATCAGCTCCTACCTCCTCGCCGCAGAGTCGCTCGTACACAGCTTCCAGCTCCTGTAGCTCTGTCAAAGAGCGAATGAGCTCGGTAGAGATTTCGGAGCAGTGGCCTCCTCGCACACCCTCCGGTGGCGGAGGCGCCCCTGACAACTTCTGAGGGGATTCCAGGTCCGCCATCTTGGTTCCTATTAGGCGCTTCCGGGCTCGCGAGGTCCCCTCTGCGTTGGCGTGACGACCTTTGGTCTGTCCACAGAAATGCCCGATCAATGAATTCGAAGTCTAGTTTCGAAATTAATTTTACATTGTACAGCAAATCTACTGTAATATTCAAATACCTTAAAAGGTCGCAGAAGCAAGAGTAAGTCGTTTTAAAATTACATCTTTTTATCAGGCGGACTCCAGATACCTTTTCCCGTCGCGCGCCACCCGAAGGCCCCGTCTTGAGGGCTAATGGCGGACGCCGGCGGGTTGGCTTTGGCGGTGGCTTAGGCCTTGAAGGACTTCAGCATCCATCGGATACCGACGCCATCCTTCTTCCAACAGGGTAAAAAAGTGGCCTCGCAACTTGTCTGTCGCGGAAGAAGTGGAGAGCGGTCACACAAGAGAGCTGCTCGGCACTTTGGCGGGAGTCGCAGAGGCAGTTTTAGGCCGGAGAGCTTTGGTAGGCTTGAATAGGTTAGGAAAATGCTTGCGGTGCGCATATGGCTTCCTGGGCTCTTCCCCTCGCTTCTCCTCGCAGAGTGGGAACGAGTCCTTGAAAATAAGGCTTGCAAGTCTGACGTGGTGGCGCACTCGTATATTCCCAGCACGCGGGGAGGTTGAGGCAGTCCGTATGTCTCTAGAGTGGGAGGCCCGAGGTGGCGGGGGGTGGGGGGACACTCGAGGGAATAAATTCCTAACGCGAAGGTATAAGAAGTGTAAATAACGAAAACAGTGTGGATTCGAGAATCTGGTGTGAATTTTGTTTTGTCCTCTGAGCCAGTTTTCTCCTGTTTAAAAAAAAAAAAGACTAATAATATCTGCCTGAAGACTTATGAGATGTAAAAGAGATGATCTTGGAACTGAAGAAATCACGGGCTTCTTAGATTGGGACAGGGGCGGGGAGGGAAACTTTCCAAGTTTTGGCGATTAAAGTTTCCTGGTATTTGGTGTTGTACTAGTGTGATAGTCCTCCAGGATGCATCCCCTTCAGTGTAATAGGGATCCCGTTTGTTTTAGTGTTTAATGAGTGAATAGGCGTTATTTTAATCGTCCATCTGTTCTGAAGTGTAACCTGGCGCTTGCACAAAGCCAGGGGTTTCATTCCCGTAGCCACAAACACAAAATTCTCAAATATAGAGCATTATAAGGTGCAAGTGAAAAACTAAGACCAAAATACCAAAGTTCATCTAAGCAAATGTCACTTTGGTGCAACTGAAACTCATACGTGCAAGTCTTGTAAATTGTTAGGTATACCCTCCAAAAGTCAGTTTGGAAGTACCAAAATTTAACTATTTTAAAATTTAAATCCTTCAATTTGCCAGTTCAACTTCTGAGAATAAATCTTAGAGGTATATTCATGAACCTGTATATGAGGTATTAACATTTATGGTTAATTGAATTGTAATATAGCCATCGAATAAGATTCTCTGTGTTTGTAGCAAAAAAATGGCTCTTTATTGGTATATCAAATTAATTCATTAAGAAGTTGCAGTGTATTGAGTGTAGCTAGTATCCATCTTTTGGTTAAAGAGAAGACAAAGTATGGCATAAATGTGTGTTCTTGAATATTTTTACACATATATAGGCATATGGAAAGATTTATTCCCAAGAATTGGATCAATGGGAAATGGATCTGAAATTTTTACCATGCAGTTAAGTTTTGCATGATGTGAATGTAGCCTCTTGGACTACCATTACCCATAGATTTTTGTTTGTCTGACAAAAAATATACAGTCATGTTACATTAATTTAGCAAGTTCTAGTTCCTGACAGATCACTACTTTTTATATGTTGGTTAATGGATATAATTTTTGAGCTTAAGTTTCTTTGACCATAGTTTATGATGTTTTTGTTTCTACATTATAGCCTGGAACTGAGTATATAGATTAGGCTGGCCACTTTATTTGTAGTAATCCTACTTCTATCTCTCCAGTGTTAGGATTGCAGAAGAGAGCCATAATGCCTGGCTTTTTCCTTCCTCCCTCGGATATTTTTTAATCTTGGTACCTGGGAGATCTCAGAGTTCCAGGACTCAGGGACTGCATAATGAAGCCTGGTGTTGGTGGCATACACCTTTAATCCCTGCATTTAGGAGGCAGAGGCAGGTGGATCTCTGTGAATTCAAGGCCAGCCTGGTCTACAGAGCGAGTGCCAGAATAAGCTCCAAAGCTACACAGAGAAACCCTGTCTACAAACAAAACAAACTACATAATGAGACCTTGATTCAAAGAAACCTTGTCTATTCTAGGATTTGCTGTGTAGCTCCAAGGGCTTAGAATACAGGTTCATGCCAATATGTAGGCTTTCATAGGATTCATTTGAGATGTGGTGTACTAGAATGGTGCCTAGCTATAAATGATGCTATAATTTTCTTTTCCCTTGAGAATGCAACCCAGGGACTCATACACACTAAGCAAGGATTCTAGCAATAAGCTACATCCCCTGCCTGAATGGCACTCTTTTTGGTTTTCCCAGACAGTGTTCCTCTGGAAAACAGTCTTGGCTGCCTTGGAACTCAGGCTACAACCATGATAGCTTCAAACTCACAGAGATCCTCCTGCCTCTGCCTTGGAGTGCTGGAATTAAAGGTGTGAACCACCAGTACCTGGCTTGAAAAGGCACTCTTAGCGATAAGTGTGGTGCTCTGCAGTAGGCATTAACTCTACTGGATCTATCTTCAAACAGAAGTTTCCATATAGAATTTCTTTTAAGAACAGTAATTTTTATGTTTTTGTATTTGTAGCCTGCTTTGACTTGATACTATTGGTATAGCCAAGACTTGAAGTACTGTGTATCTCAGTTTTGCTTGTCACCATGTTTCTGTACAACTTGACCTTACAACGGGCCACTGGCATCAGCTTTGCCATCCATGGCAACTTCTCTGGTAAGTTCTCTAGGTATTAATTTTGTAAATTGAAATGAGTTAATACATGTGTTAATTAATTACACATATAGTGTGCTTATCTTTTGTGCTTATCTTTTGCAGAATTGTTTTCTATTTACAAAAAAAATTGGTGTGTTAAATTATGGTATATTATGTCACTCAATTTCAGATGCATTTCTTTCCATATTTCTTCCCAAGTTGTGTATTGATGCGAGAGACATAAGCCGCACAAGTCATGGTCCTTTTTTTTTTTTTTTTTTTTTTTTTAAAGACCATCTTATTTTCGTCCTAGGTGGCCTCACTTGGTAGTTTTTCTGCTTTAGCCTTTCAGAGCTAGCACAACAGGTCTTAATGTGGAGTTTGATGTCAGATTTGCTGAAAAAATAACTGGGTGTGATAGTTCATGCCTGTAGTCCTAACACTCAGGAGGCTGAGATACTGTGAGCATGAGTTGAAGGCTAGCCTATGACTGACTCTGTGTATCCTTGACTGTTCTGGAACTAGCTCTGTAAACTAGACTGGCCATGAATTCAGAGATCTGCCTGCCTCTGCCTCCTGGGTACTAAGGTTAAAGGCGTGTGCCACCACCACCCGTCTTAAAAAAGAAATAGGGCTTATCTGGTGAAAGCATTGTTGCTCAAGCCTGCAACTAAGTAAGAGTTAGCATTATGGATAAAGTGCTTGCCATATGAGCGTAAGGATCTGAATTCATGCAGGAACATATCAGTAACAGATAGTTCCCGATTGTGTATATTGGTAACTAATTTTAGGAAAATAGGTTGTTTTTACCAATGTAGCCTTTTATAAAAAGCTTTTTTGATAATTTGGTTAGGTCAGTTCTGGGGAAAGTATCTTTTCAAGTAGAATAAATTAACTCAAAATATAGATTCCCCCAACTAATTCCATTTGTCTTCACTGCCCTTTCTATTCAACTAACCTGATTATTTTGGGGGCTCATTCTGGGTGTTTATGCTCTTTATTTTTTGGTGATGTAGGAACCAAACAACAGGAAATTGTTGTTTCTCGTGGGAAAATCTTGGAGTTACTTCGCCCAGACCCTAACACTGGCAAAGTACATACCCTCCTCACCGTGGAAGTATTTGGTGTTATCCGGTCACTTATGGCCTTTAGGCTAACAGGAGGCACCAAAGACTACATTGTTGTTGGTAGTGACTCGGGCCGAATTGTTATCTTGGAATACCAGCCATCAAAGAATATGTTTGAGAAAATTCACCAAGAAACTTTTGGCAAAAGTGGATGTCGCCGTATTGTTCCTGGACAATTCTTAGCTGTGGATCCCAAAGGGAGAGCTGTTATGATTAGTGAGTGATTTAGTTTATTTACTCTTGAGTGCTTCTTTGATTTTTCCATGTGCTCAATGTACTATATATCATGCAGTGATCTTTGCAGTATTCCAGTCTATCACTTAATGTGCTAACATTGGGTTAATTTTGTTAAAGGTTTCCTTTTAAAATAGTAGGAAAGTCCATAAAGTAACTGCCTTAATCAACTTGGAAAAAATTCATTACAGCACAGGGTACAGTGAAGTGGTCTTAGTTGTAGTCAGTGTGGTTGCTTTCTTCAGCCTGAAGTGATGATTCACATTCATGTCTCTTCTCTGATGAGCTCTTGAAGGAGATTCTGTGTGGCTGATCAGGCCTCTAGAGGGCAACCCTTTGAGCAGTTACAAACCACTAGGCTTAATTCAAAGAATAGTTAACATATATTAGTTACTATTGTGTTTCTCCATGTCCGTAAGTTCAGGGCACCTCAAATTTTTTTTTTGAAGAATTAGAGGAATATTAAGATTTTTTTTTTATTAGGAGGGAGGGGTTATAATGATTTTGTTGCTTGCTAACAAAAGAGGGCTATACACTGCTTGTACAGTTAGTGATGACTATTAATGATCTTATTTTAAAAAAATAAGCATTGTGTATATATGTGTCTTTATCATGTGGTAATCTGGTATGTTTCATCTCTTTCAACTATAGGTGCAATTGAGAAGCAAAAATTGGTATATATCTTGAACAGAGATGCTGCAGCCCGACTTACCATTTCATCTCCGCTGGAGGCCCACAAAGCAAACACTCTAGTGTACCACGTGGTTGGAGTAGATGTAGGATTTGAAAATCCTATGTTTGCTTGTCTGGAAATGGATTATGAGGTACTGATAACTGGTTCTTTATCCCCTTTTCAGTCATCTTAATTTTTTTCCTAAAATAATTTCCTTCATTGTGTAGAAGTAGGTTTTTTTTAAATTTATTAATTCATTCCAATCCCGCTTTCCCCTCCCTCTTCTCTTCCCGCTCCCCCACTTCCTCCCAGATATCTGCTCCTCTGAAATCTTATATCCATAAATCTTAAATTAGTCTTTTATTATTTAAATTTTTTCTCTTGAATCTTTCTTGCTAGCAGTTCTTTTTCACATTATAGATGCTTTTCTGAAAACCTTCAGAATGTTTGCATTTGACTATGTCATATCCTTTGCTCTGATTTAAGTGACTGGTCTGTGGACTGAGGTATTTATTGGAAGAAGCTGCATGAGAAATAAAAAATTCTATTTGCTGTTTTTTGTTTTTTTTTTTTTTTTTTAAGGGAAATAGAGAAAGGCAAAGCATACCACTCTCTAGACAGCAAGCATCCTCTAGTAGTGTCATCCCTGGATCCAGAATAAAGATCTGGATCCTTGTTGCTCTATCATTTTTATAGTAGCATGAACTTTGTCAAACTATTTAGAATATGTGAACTTTTACTTCCTTGTGTAAATGCAAGGTCTTGATATTCTTTCTAAGTCTAAAACTTCCTGTTTTGTCTTTGTGGCACTGTCCCACAGGAAGCAGACAATGACCCAACAGGGGAAGCAGCAGCTAACACCCAACAGACACTCACTTTCTATGAATTAGACCTTGGTTTAAATCATGTGGTTCGAAAATACAGTGAACCCTTGGAGGAACACGGCAACTTCCTTATTACAGGTACTTTTCTCCAGTGTTACTACTCCCCCCCCCTTAAAGTTACTATATGATTGTGTTTTGCTTTCATGTATGTCTGTGGAGTATAGAAGAAGACATTGGGTCCATATGACCTGGAGTTACAGACGATTATGAGTCGCCATGAGGGTGCTGGGATTGAACCCCCAGTCTCTGGAAGAGCAGCCAGTGCTCTTAATTGCTGAGCCATTTCTCCAGACTCTTTTTTATCTTTTGCTTGCTTCATGTTATGGCCAAGCTCAATAGGTTTGACTACATAGGATTTGGGTCTTAATTCCCTGTAGCAAACCTTAGCCTTGTATGTTTCTGTTCTATTGTTTTAGAAAGTTCTCATTCTATAGTCCTGGTTAGGTATTACAAGCTGATCTTGAGCTCATGGCAATTCTTGCTCTAGTCCCCTAGTGTTGGAATTACAGATGTTGGTTATCGTACCAAGCTTCTATTTCTCTTGAGGCTAAACATTAAGATGGTAAAGTGATTTTTTTTTTTTTCTTTTAAAGTCTGTGTGTCACATGTCTTAAATTCCAGTAGGGGATCTCTGAAGTGACAACCAGCTTGATCCACAGAATGAGTTCTAGGACAGCCAGGACTACACAGAGAAACCTTGTCTGTAAAAACAAAGTGTGCAATTTAATAACTCTTACGGCCGAGCCTTGCATTGTTGATGCATGCCTTTAATCCCACATCAATAATAGTAATGCTTTTCATGTTCATAACTGACTTGTCTTCACATTCCAGCCCATAAGATTTATTTATTTATTTATTTATTGGTTTTTCGAGACAGGGTTTCTCTATTGCTTTGGAGCCTGTCCTGGAACTTGCTCTGTAGACCAGACTGGCCTCGAACTCAGAGATCCGCCTGTCTCTGCCTCCCGAGTGCTGGGATTAAAAGCGTGTGCCACCAATGCCTGAGACTCATTTATAGCTTTAAATGATCGTCTTGCTTGTATAGAAAGCACTTTGCCAACTGAGCCCCTATTTTTGTCCTTTTAAAATGTCTCATACAGCTCAGGCTGATTTCAAATCTTCCAGTTAGATAAATCTTGAACTCTTGATTCTCCATCCTCCCAAGTACTAGAATTACTGATGGAAACTATCATTCCTGGCTTTATTTTAATTTTTAGAGACAGGGTCTCCTATAGCTCAGACTAGCCTCACATTCGATATGTAACTGAAGGTGACTTGGCTTTTGATCCTCTTGCCTCCCCTACCTTCCAAGTACTTTCATTTAAAGTGGACATCAGGGAAAAGATACTTGGCTTGCCTGTCTTTCAGCTTCTGGCATACAACCTTATCAAGTGAGGAGGAGAGCAGTTGAAAATAAAAGCAACACAGTAACTTAAATTACTGATAAGCTTTTTTAAATTTTTTTCCTCTTACAGTTCCTGGAGGGTCAGATGGCCCAAGTGGAGTACTGATCTGCTCTGAAAATTATATCACCTATAAGAACTTTGGTGATCAACCAGATATCCGATGTCCAATTCCCAGGAGACGGGTAAGGTCTTTGCCATAGAGGAAAGACTGTTGTTCGGGAAATGAATTATATTTTTATGATTACAGGATAGTTGCTTTCTCTTCTTTTTTTCCCAAGACAGGGCTTCTCTGTGTGGCCCTGACTGACCTGGAACTAGCTCTATAGACTAGGCTGACCTCAAACTCGTAGAGATCTGCCTGCCTCTACCTCCTGAGTGCTGGGATTAAAGTTGTACCCTATTACCACCTGGCCTATCTCTCTTATCTCTCTTTGTGCATGTATGCCAAGGTACATGTGTAGAGGTCAGACAGGACAAACTTAAAAGTTTGTTTTATCCTTTTATTGTGTGGGTCTTCAGTTAAACTCAGGTTGTTATTCTTAGCATCGGTATCTCCTGAGCCATCTCACTGACCCTAATATAGTCTCTTAAATTTATTTGTTGCCAAGTTTTAGTTATTTGAAGAAATAAGTGCTCTTTATCTGAAACTGGTATTTTTAAAGGGGGAAATTAATATTTTGTTTATTTTTATTTTCTAATCCAGAATAAGCTCAAAATTTGCAGTTTAGCTCAGGATAAACTTGGCATTCTGTAATCCTTGAGTCCTTCCAAGTGACAGGATTACAGACATGTGCTACTATGCCTAGTTTATTCAGCTCTTGGACCCAAGGCTTTGTGCATGCTAGGGGAATACTGCCTATTGAGCAAATTATCACTAAGTGGTACTATTTACTTAATTGTGAGGTTGTAGAATATGATGGTGGTCTTTGAGATTTATAGATATTCTTTCCTCTGCAGTCTTCATCCTATGGATATATTACCAATCTTATTTTGAATCACTTCTTATGTTGTTTCCCCTCAGCTTTGAATTATTTATTTTTAATATTGGCTCTGGGAAAAAAAAAAACTATTGGCTCTGGGTTAAACCTTATAGGATTTAGCTAGTTGATCTTAGTAGAAGTCCACTAGTTTCCTAAAAACCTAAATAGAAGTCGAATCTTGACAAAAACAATGAAACCAGACTGTTGATCAGACACATTTACTGAGGATCTAACTGCCAGGAAATTATATTTAGCTTGGGGCAATAAAGAGCTATAAAACTTCGTAGTTTTATTTTGTGTGTGTGTGTGTGTATTAATTATGTTAAAATATGGTAACGTTAAAAACTCAAAGCACTGGGGCTGCAGAGATGGCTCAGAAGTTAGGAGCACTGACTGCTCTTGCAGAGGACCTAAGTTCAATTCCCAGTACCTACCTGGTACCTCACACCTGTCTGTGACTCCAATTCCAGAATCTCTGACCTCACGGACATATATGCAGCCAAAACACTAATGCACATACATGAAAATAAGTTAAGATAAAAAAAAAAAAAACTCAAATAACATTCACCTCTAAGGGATAAAGTGGGAATTTGGTACTACACAGACTGGTTGGTGATGGATTGTTGTCATGGTAGTGTGGATGAATGTGGTTTTTGTTTTTAAATTTTTATTCACAGCCTGAAATGATGACTTTAATTTCATGTCTCTTCTCTGACATTTTTCTGGAGATAATTTTTGCCTTACTGATCTGATCAGGCTGCAAAGTGGAATATTAGCTGTTTCTTTGTTTCAGGGGGTTTAGTATGTATTTCTTGCAGGCAAGTTGTTTTGTTCAGTTGGCAGCTACTGTGGTTAATATTTGTATGTTAGACCTTGAGTAGTCTGTATAGCTCCTGTTAAAGTACTGAATTCTAGAATAAAGAGTACTATTTCTAAGATATTGATTATATATTTGGCCTTGCTAGAATGACCTGGATGACCCTGAAAGAGGAATGATTTTTGTTTGCTCTGCCACCCATAAGACCAAGTCCATGTTCTTCTTTTTGGCCCAAACGGAGCAGGGAGATATCTTTAAGATCACTTTGGAGACAGATGAAGATATGGTAAGTAGACCATGGAAGGAGGGGATAAACATGTATTTGTTCTAGTCTATTTTTAATTGAATATAATTTAAAACTCTTGTCTAAAGTACTTGTTATATATACATGTAAGATTTACAAAGCTGCTTTGTAACCATCTAGACATCATAACTTCCCTGTGTTAAGATGGGGAGTAAGTACAGCTGATACTTGACAAGTCAAAAAGAGGGCATTTGCCTTGTATTGTATCTTGCTTTGTTCTATTTGTGGTCTCATGGGGGCCAGCTCATTTTTGTTTG